GAGGAAAGCTGAACACAGGCATGAGGTCGTTTGAAGTATTAACAGAGCATCTCAACAATAGCTGCAAATGAGCGAGGCCAATGCCCCCCAGGGCCAGGAAGCGCTCTGGGAAGACAATGTGGAGCCAGATTTATTAGCTGGGCCACTGTGGCTGGAGGAGAGAGCCCATCTCCAGTGTGCGGAATGGGAGGTGGCTGAGGCTGGCAGTTTCCCAAAGTGAAGACTCTGGGGAGGGGCTAAGCCATCTGAGCAGGGAGACTGAGGGAGAGCCGCAAGATGGCCCGACAAGTGGACTGCTGGGGGGGGGAGGGGGGCGGGGGGTGTCTCCAGGCTCTGTGGAGCTGAGCACTGGTAGACCTGGGGTGCGGGGCAGGAGCCACTGGGAGCTTGGGTGGTACAGGCTGGTTCCCACCGGCTCCTGAGCCTGGGACAGCCCCAGGGAAGGAGCTTCCCCAGACATGCCCAGGCTGCCCTGCAGGGCCAGAAATGGAGAGACAAGGATGAGAAGCAGGCTCAGGAAGATGAGGGTGCATGTTGGATGTCAGGGTGTCTGAGGCCAAGAAGGGAAAGACAGACGGATTCTGCCTGCCTCTAAGACTCGCAAAGTTATCCCCGGCGGTCAGCCCAGTCGGGTCTCTACAGAAGAGGGGTGCCGATGCCAGGCGCTGGCATCCGTCTTTGGGAGAACTTTACCATCATGGGGGTTGAACAACGCCTGTTGCGCTCTGTCTTACGTTTACAATGTACCGTATGACAAGGGACATTACTAGTGCGCTGCCTGCCCCCCTTGTACCCGCGAAAGGTGGCTTGTGATGCATCCCAAGTCCTCCCCAACCCCAGATGCTTCTCTTCCCAAGAGCACACAGTCTGCGTGGACCCGTGGAGGCGTGGAGATAGGAAAGCGCTCGTTGTTAACTCACCGATGGCTCTCACGGCTGGCGGTGGAAACAGCTGTGGTGAACAGAAGCTGCTCGGTGGCGCCCAGGGCATGTGCCATACTTCAGCTGTGATCCACATCTCTGGATCCGCCTGCCCCTCCTTCTCCTCCAGGACCCAAACAGGAACAAATGCTGATGGCCTGGAGCTCTTTGAAGATTGCAGTTAGCCATGAAAAAAATAGATTTTCCCCTCCTGGCTTGTGTACATGAGATGTGGGGATAGAGGGCAAGAAATTGAACTTCCCGGAACCTGTCTGTTCACATGTTTAGCTGCACTTGAAAGTACTTTCCTTCCGGCTGTCAAATTCTGATCCAACTTCCAAAAGGCTGCTTGAACGCCGCTCCTCAGCCCCGCCCCGCCCACCCCCACCCCAGACTGGGCTGTGTTGTTTTAATTAATGTTTTCTGTTTTGCTGCTCTGGGTTCTAACATCCATGACAATGGCTGCCCAGACTCACAGACAAAAGTCATGATTAAAGGATTTATTCAGGAAGTCCACAAGTCGTAGTGCCAGTGAGAAATGCCTGGGATGATCGCTCATCCAGACAGGTCACAAAGTTCTTTCAGGTCTGCTAGTAAATGCGCAAAGGGACCCCCCATGCCACTGGAAGCCTCAGCCCAAAGGGGACAGACAGCAAACCGTGCTCCCTGAATTGCTAAGTGCCAGAGGCTCCCTGTGCCAGTTAAGTTCAGCCCCAAGGCTCTCAGCTCCACTTCTGTGGGTCGGCAAGGCCGACTTGCTGAATTAAGGGCCCAGAGGCACCCCATCTGTTAGCCAGCCTCCTGTATGCAAAGCACCCAGTTTCACGGGCTCTGGGGATTGGGGAGTCAGTCCATCACGCCATCCCACACTTTGGCTCCCGGTCCTGCTGCTGCCCCTCTGATGCCATAGCTCTCTTCCGGATCCAGGAGGTTCACTGTGCAGAGGGCACACTCCACGCTGGCTCTTGCTGGCCATGAGATCCCTCCTCCTGCTGCTCTGGATGGCACCGCTCCAAGGAATCCTGCTTACAGGCACCCAGGTGACACCTGCCGGTGTCTCCCCACACTTTCTTACCAGACGCATGCACGAGAAGGTTGTTTGCTGGGCGTTAGAGACCTTGGCTAGAAGTCTCTGCTCTCTGCAAGGGGCCGCCCTTATTCAGAATGCCCCAGACCAGAGCTGCCCGATGGAACTGTCTATAACAATGGAAGTTCACGGCCACTCGCCACTCCAGGCTGCTAACCACTTGACAGGCAGCTGATGAAGCCAGTGATGGAATACTTCTCCGAAGCTTCTAGATAACTGTACATACCACGCCTGCTATGTGCCGGACACGGCATTAGGCCTTGCCCACAGTGATCTCACTGACAGCCACGGGCCCTCCCGAGCAGGCACTGTCCCCGTTTTAAAGGGTAGGACCCGGAGAATCAGAGGAGCCTCGAGAGGGGCAGAGAATCCATTGATCCTGGAATGCAGGGTCTTTTGACCCTCGCTCCTTTCCTAATACAGGGAAACCTGTGGGGGCCAGAGCTTGGCGGGACAGGCTTGTTTTCCAGGGCCTTGCGAGGGAGGGGGACGACGATGGGCGGTCTGACCGCGTTTCTGTTGTTCACTTTAGTGGAAAACACTTGTGTTTTCTTTCCCTGGCTTGTTTCTGCCTTACCGAGGAGCCTCGGTAAGGCTTCCACAAATTTACTGGTAGCATTTGCTCACTCCCCACTGCATAAACTGCCTCCCCACTCTGCCCCCAACGGTCCACAGGTGGTAAGGTGCCTCCTGTCTTCCCTAGGACCTTGCTGTCTCATTGCAATGGCTTCCCGGGGCGATCCCCAGGACTGCAGGGCCTGAGTGAGGTGGGAGGGCGGACGGCTTAGATCCAGCTGCAGAATAGTAGGGGTGGGGTGGGGTGGAGCTCGAGCTGAATAGAAGCAGCCCAGAGGATTTGAGGCCAGATGTTTGGGGATTCCCTCCCAAATGTCACTTCTCTCCTTAGCTCCAGGAAGCGTCAGCCTTGCCCCTAGGCATTTCTGGAAACACAGAAGCAGGGGACTGTTAACAGTTTCATACTGGGACTCACAGGTGTCTCAACATTGGGGAGCTGACTGGTCTACTCCATTCACTCATTCAGTTAAATATATGTATATTTATGAAGCACCTTGGGGATTTCCATTCAGTTGGATGTGGTAAGACCCAACCACCTGCTTCTTCATAAAGCCCAGGTATGGTCCACAGACCGGGCTCAGAAGTCAGACTGTTGGTTTCTGATCCCACCACATCTGTATTATCTCGGATTTCCTGTTCACTGCTGGAAATAATCCCTTCCTCTTCTGAGCCTCCCTAACGCTGCCACTCTTCCTGCCTGCACATTAAGCCAGACAACCAAAGCCACTGTCATCAGATCTGTTCCAGCTCGCGGTGACCCTATCGGGCAGGCGGAACTGCCCCTGTGGGTCCCAAGGCTGTCACTCTTTGTGGAGACAGAAAACCTCACAGCTCTCCCGTGGAGCAGCTGGTGGGTGAACTGCTGACTTTGAGGTTAACCACTTACCATGTAGCCAGAGCTCCTTTGGCTGCACATTAGAATGACCTGAAAAACCCCACCCCACTGCCACCCTAACTGATTCTGACGCGGGGCAGAACTGCCCCACGGGACTTCACGGAAGCACGCCACGTCTTTCTCCCTTGGAACAGTTGGCAAGTGGGTTCAAACCACTGACCTTTCGGTTAACAGCTGTGAGCTTGGCCGCTGCACAACCCGGGAGCCTCAGAATCACCGGAGGAGATTTTTTAAAGTGATGTGACCAGAATCGGGGAGGGGAGGGCAGAAGGGGTGAGGGGAGTCAACCGTGCAGCCCTGAAGAACTACCCTCTCCTACCCACTCTCTTCCTCCTCGCTTCCATGGTTCTAACCACATCCTGTTACTTCTTTGTCTCTCCTTGTGGCTGGGCAGGAGTTTACCTTTGTGCCTACACCCCCTTCAACACAGCGGTTTCCACAAACACCTTCAGCGAAGGGCTTTCAGCTGGACCCAAAAAACCCATGCTGCCCTCCTTCGGTTCAGCTCGGTGGACACCAGGCATTATCTCCGGCATAAGCATTTCGCCCCCAAAGACACGGACGGTTCTCTCTGTCCTTTCTTGAACATCCTTTTTCATTGTCATTTTATTGCTTGGATCTCGGGTGGCCTTGGGATACTCTGTATCCAGCGCTCACATTACAGCGGGGGCCAACAGGACGACCACCTGGGGTTAGAGTGGGTGGTTAGTGGGTGGACTGGGCTTGTCAGGCATCAGGGTGCTGGTGCCAGCCCCTGCCAGCTGCGGGAGTACCGCTGTTGCCAGCACGGGAGCCTACGGAATCTCCCGGATGGAACATCTCTCCTCTAAAGCTTCCTGGCGCCATGGTGGGCAAGTGGGAGCAGGCTTGGTCTCAAGCAAATCGTAAGGCTGCTCCTCAGGTTTCCAATCTTCCTTTCTGCGCCTCTCCTCACACTCGCCACCTTCCCGGAGCCTGTTGCCCCTCCTTGGCCTTCTCTTTTGCCCCTCCTACCTAAGCCTGCTCCTCAGAAAGGGGAATATGTTCGCCCTGTTGAATATGTCGGATCAAGCGTGCAAGGAACCAGGGGTTAGCGTGCTTGGCTGCGAACCGCATGGTTGGTGGGTCCTTCCCAGCAGCGGTTGCAGGGGAGAAAGCTGTGGCCACCTGCTTCCGTGCAGAGGTGCAGCCTGGGGAGCAGTACTGCTTCATCCTCTGGGCTCACTGGCGGCACTGGGTTGGGGTTCTGGCTAGTGAGGGTGTGCCTCACAGTCTAAGGGTAGCGTGTTTGCTGGCTTCGTGATCAAAGAGCAAACCCTTACGCAGGAGCGATTCACGTTAAGGCGTCTCCGCTGTCCGTGTGGGTCAGGTACTTTTGAGGGCAGTGGGGCTCTTTCTCCTGCAGTGACCAGCGTCTCTCCGCATGCTCTGAAACCCCAGGAGGTGGCGGTAAGGCGCATCTGCTTAGGGAAGAGGGGATTGATTCTACCCTTGGGGAATCTGCCCTCAAGAGAGGGTCTCACGTGCCCCCTCCCCCTGCCAGATGTGGACGAGTGTGTGGAGGGGACCGATCACTGCCACATCGACGCCATCTGCCAGAACACCCCGAGGTCCTACAAGTGCACCTGCAAGTCGGGCTACACGGGGGACGGGAAACACTGCAAAGGTGAGGCTGGGGCCTGTGGAGGGGGCACCGTCACAGCCCTGCTGGGGCACAGGGCTCAGCCTGTGGGCCTGATATCATCGTCAGCCCCCCCATGCTCCCCTCCAAAGAATGGGGTCAGACAATGACCACCCCCCTGAAGGGGGCTCATTCTCTGCGGTACAC